GCCCTCCCTCCTTTTCCATACAAGGAAGGCAGTGTCAGGGCCCAGAGTGATTATTCAGTGGGCGGGATGCTAGCCTTGCCCACAGCCCACCCCCGGCAACCCCGCGGGTCTCCCGCGCCCCGCGAGAAGTGAACCCTGAGTGCAGAGCCAGGAGTGAGGCCTGCGGACCGCCGGATGTGGCTCCAAATGCCCCTTCTCCCCGACACACACACACACACACACACACACACACACACACACACACACACGAAGCCAGCAGAGGCAGAGAGGAAGGCTTGCACTGGAAATTTCTACAAAACTGGGCTCAAGTACGGGAGCCCGGTCCTGAGGGACGGCTGAGTGTCCCAAGTTCCCCACCTCTGGCCAGACCCCACAGCGGGGGTGAAGCCCAGTGCGCCCAGCCTGGCCTGAAGAGAGCCAATGGATCACGGTTAGGGAGTCCAGAGGCGGGAGGGTCGGGGGAGGGCCCCAAGGGCTGCAGCAGGATGCCACACAGTACTCTGAGCACCCCTGGGAGAGCCCAAGCACCGAGCAGAGAACGGCCTCTGGGCACCTTCCAGGTGGCGCAAACCATCATGCCCCGCCCCAAAGAGAGTGAAAGCAAAGGGAGAAACCAACTCCCCCCCCCACCAAGTCTGACCCACCCTGGTGGGGCTCTGCTGTCTCAGCCACCCAGTCTCACGAGCCCACGAGCTCAGGGGCACAGTTTGCCTTAATCCCAGAGGCACAGGAGAGCGACAGTGAGGAGCATGCAGGCCACGGGGTTGGGGACATGGCACAAGGTGGAAAGCGCTTGCCTCACACGGGTACACTCTGTTTCAACCCCTGGCACTGCACAGGGTCCCTCCAAGCACCCTGACAAGTGACCCCTGAACACAGAGTCAGGAGTAAGCCCTGGGCACTGCTGGGTTGTGGCCAAGAACAGAACAAACAAACAGGAGAATTGAAGGGACCAGAGTGATAGCACAGCAGGGAGGGCGTTTGCCTTGCATGCAGCTGACCCGGGTTCGATCCCTGGCATCCCATATGGTCCCCCAAGCACCACCAGGAGTGATTTCCAAGTACAGAGCCAGGAGGAACCCCTGAGCATCTCTGGGTGGGACCCAAAAAAGCAAACAACAACAACAACAACAGCAACAATAACAAAGAATTGAGAGCCATAATACTGCGGGGAGGGCATTTGTCTTACACGCGACTGCGCTGGGTTCGATCCCCGGCATCCCATATGGTCCCCGAGCCCGCCAGGAGTAATTCCTGAGTGTGGAGTTAGGACTAACCCCTGAGCATTACAGGGTGCGGCCTCAGGACTTCTTGTCATGACCCCTCCTCCGACCGGGCCCTGCTTTGAGAGCTGGATACCCCAAAGGGAAGCCACGCGCCATCCACGGTTTTCAAACACACGTTAACGACAGTAACATGAGAAGACAGAAGGGCAAAAATCTCAGCTCCCGATTCCAGTGGCCATGTAGCAGCAAGACCTCCATCACCACACGTGGCCCACGGTCACCATCCGCGTGGAGAGAACACTGTCCCTGTTACTCACGAAGCATCCTGTGGCCAGTGGGTCAGAGTCTCAGGGGGACGCTTGTCCCAGGGACAGCAAGGGCATGAGATGCAGGCCAGGCACCTAGGGATGGGCATCCCATTTCCCCAGGTCTGGGGCGGGGAGGGGGTCGCCCAACCAAACAAATGCTGACCTGTCACACGTCCTCCCAGGACCACCTGCCCCACGTCCACTTGCCTCTGGGGCGAGCCTCCTTAATCCCCCAAGTCCCCTCATCCCAGTCCTCCAGAAGGAGGCGGCCTGGGTGCTCCCTTGCTCTGCACGCATTCTACCTGCCTTTACTCTCCGTAACACGAGAACCAAGTCCTGTCCTGCACCTCGGCCCTAGCACCAGCCTGATCCTACGGAGATGCTGACACGGTGGGTGCCCGCACCCAGCACCAGCCTGATCCTACAGAGATGTTGACACGCAGGTGCCGGCCCAGGGCCGCACTGCACCGTGGGTGCCTGCCCCCTCCCCCATGCGCCCCAATGCACCCCTGTGGCGTCAGCTGGGTTACAGGGGTGGCATGGGGCAGAGAGGGGAGGTGCTGGAGCGGGCAGACCCCCACCCCCACCAACCCACATCCCCGTCACTACTTTCCAGTTACCCTTCCTTTGCCCCCTGCCTTGCAAGTAGAAGCTGAGGCCCGCGGACAGAGTTGGAGTGGACACCCTGAGAGGGTGCTGGGAGGTCGGCCCCGTGACCGCAGTTCCGGGTGGGTGGTGAGGAGCAGGAAAGGGAGGCAGTGCCAAGGCACGAGGGCGGCAGGCTGGGCTTACACGCGGTCGACCCAGGTTCGAGGCCCCGCACCCCAGAGAGTCCCCCCCCTCCCCCGGAGCCCACCAGGAGCGATCCCTGAACCCAGAGCCAGGAGTAAATCCTGAGCACCACAGGGTGCAGCCCCCAAACCAAAACCAACAAGCCCCCCAAAAAACAAATACAAAAGCCAAATAAACAAGGGTGTTTGGTTAGAGCGCTACTACACGGGAGGGGCAGGGGGGAGGCACTTGCCTGGCATGTGGCCAACCCCGGTTTGATGCCCAGCACCACACAGGGCTCCCCCAAGCACCACCAAGGGCACCTGAGCACTGAGTTAGGAGTAGCCTCTGAGCACCGCAGGGTATGACCCTCCCAAGCCACCCAAAAAGAGAGAGCTGGGTCCCTGCAGCCATCACCCGCTCCTGCTCGCACCCCTTCCCTCAGCCCTGGCCCCAGGAGGCCCGGGGTCCCCCTCCCTGGCCAACGTCTGCGCCACCCAGGGCTCCGCCCGCTCCTGAAGCTCCCTGGGCCCACTGGCCGCGTCCAGCTGCTCTGGCCCGAACAGCGCCTTGTAGGGTAAGGAAGCCGGCTTCCTCCCCACCCCGGGCCTGCCTCACGCCTGCCTGCCTCAGGGGGGCTGTTCCCTTTGGGCTAGTGACTAATGCCCTGACAGCAGACCGGAGCTGGACCAACGCCGGAGCTGGACAAAATGGGGTGGGGGAGAGGGGGGGCAAAGGGGAGGACCATTAGGGGAGGCACCTCCAAGGTACAGTCTGGGGAAAGGGTGGGGCGGAGAGACGGAGACGCCAACAGCCACACACACACACACACACACACACACACACACACACACACACACACACGCTTCACACGTTGTTAGTGGTTTCAGGGTGAGGGTGGCGCTACTGATTTTTTTTTTTTACAAAGGAGGGCAGAAGATCAGCGGGCATGGTGGGCAGGCCGAGCGCAAGTGCCAACAGCCACCCGCCCGCCCCGAGCCTCCTGCCCGGCCTTAAAAGGCTCCCAGATGGCCCGGTGACAAGTATCGGGGCACCCCTCTGCTCTAGAGCCCCTGACCAAACCCCAGGCGCGGCCAGGTTATACAGGGGGGTCTCGGGGGTGGCGGTGGTGGTGGGATATGGTTGGGGTGGGGTGGGGGTGGGGGGAGCCAGGCCCGGGGGGGCCCCCAAGGGGAGCTGCTGGGAGCTGAGTCAGAAGCCCTCAGCCCAGAGGTGAGGGAAGGACGGAAGCGAGAGGGAGGCGATGATTCAGCGCCCGGGCGGGCGGGGAGGGGCAGGAGAGGCCCGGCTGGCTGGACGGGAGCAAGGGGAGGAGGAGCCTCCAAGCCTACAGGACAAGCCAAGGGGCGAGCCTTTGGGGTCGGGGTGCGTGTCGGAGGCCGCCGGGATGCCCCCAAACACGGGGTCCGAAAGGCCCCGGGAGCACAGAGAGGGAGCGCTGCCTTCTCGCGCCCCAACCTCCTCCAAACACTGAGTGTTGTCCTCCTGGTGGGCAGGCCCAGGGCCATCCAAACCCCGGCTTCCCGTGAGACCTGTAAATCTAGGGTACATTGGCAGATGTCCGCCTCCGCCACGCGGGTGGGTGTGCCCCAGGCTGTACCATAAGCCAGTGGCGAGAGCCTGGAGAATTTAATCCCAGTCTCGCTGACCCCCGGCCCCGCGGCCACGGTCAGCTCACGGTCAGGCTGGGCCACCACCGAGCCAGCTCCCACACTGGGACTCGAGCCCCGCCCTGCCCCCCCGCACCCCAAAGAAGCCAGGACTGATGCAGGGGCAGGCGTCCGGCACCCCATGACGGTCGGTAAGACCGGGGAAGTGGCTCCCGGGGCCAGAGGTCTTATCCCCAGCAACCCCCCCCCCCCCCCCCACACACACAAGGTTGCTGTGAAGGACCCCGAGACATTGATGCAGGGCACAGCACCTGAGCACCACCAGGTGGGACCCCAAAACCAAAAGAAGAAGAAAAAAAACTGACGACACTCAGGGATGCTCGGTAGCCGGGTACCCTCCTCAGCTGCACCCACTTCGGGGCTTTGAGTTCAACGCTAGAGACAGGACAGCGGGGAGGGCGTCTGCCTCACACACAGCCAACATGGGTTGGTTCGATCCCCCCACCCCACCCCCCCAGCCATCCCATGTGGTTCCCTGAGCACTGCCTGGAAGGATCCCTGACTGCAGAGTCAGGAGTTATCTGAACACTGCCAGGTGTGGCCCCCAAAACAAACAAAACAAAACAACAAAAACCCCAGAAGGCTCGAGGTAAGCGGGCAGGGCAGAGGCCCTTACGAGCATCTTTTCAGGCTGGCTGGGCACAGGAAGTGACGTCACAGGGCTCTGACAGCTTTGAAGCCCTGGAGTCTTCTGCTCGGGGCTTGCCGGGTAATGGGCCTTCCCCTGGGGCCCTGTTCAGGGAAGCATTTAGCAGATGCGCAAATACAGAGCTCGGTGACTTCATGGGGAGGCGGGGGCTGTGCCGCCTAGCGCCCTGGGAACATGGTCCCCCTCCTGAGCTCCTTGCAAAGTGGATGCAGCAGGCGCACACACATGGGGCTCATGCCCCACCCCCGCCACCCGAGACCTCTGGACCTGGGAAGGATGCCTGCCCCCCCAACCCACTCCAAAGGACACACACACACACACACACACACACACACTCGCCTGACCGGCCCCCTACCTGGTCTCACGGCCAGAGAGGCACTGCAGCTGGCCTGACCCAGCTCGTTGGTGGCGGTGGCCGTGTAGCTGCCGGCGTCGGCTGCCCGGGCCTCCCGGAGCAGCAGCGTATGCCTCTCGCCCTCGGCGCGCAGGAGGAGGCGGCCGTCGCTGCGTACCGTCGACCCATCCTTCTGCCAGGTCACTGCGGGGAGATGGCCAGGTGATTGGGAGGACAAGCACTGAGCACCAAGCATCCCCCCCCCTTGCCCCAGGGAAGCCCAGGCCAGCCCTCCCCTCTCCCAGAGGACCCCAGCAGGCTCCCGTAACACACAGCAGTGGGGTCAAGACACTCACCCCTACATCCCCTCCCCCTCTCTGAGGGCCCAGGTGTGTGTGTGTGTGTGTGTGTGTGTGTGTGTGTGTGTGTGTGTGTGTGTTGGGGGGCGCCTGTCTCGGCTGGGACTCACCTTGAGGTGCGGGGTTGGCGGTGACAATACACTTGAGTAGCACGTCGGCCCCAGGGGCCACCACCGCGTTCTGCAGGGGGATCTCAAACACGGGGGCCTCCAGGGGCTCCTCACCCGCAGACACGTAGGAGTCGTCAGAGGACTCTGCCGGGGACACGGGACACAGATGACGGGACTTAGTCCCCGGGAGCCCATACCGGGACAGTGCTGGGCCCAGAGGGAGGGGGCTTCTAGAAGTGGGAGCTGGGGTGGGGGGAGGTGAAGGGTCTTGTTCCTGAATGCTTTGATGGGGAAGGGAAGGGCTGGGGAGGTGTCACGGGCTTAGGGCTCAGCCCCCAGCACCGTGTGTCCGCCAGAGCAGGGCTGGGGCAGCGTCTCATTCTCAGGCCTTGCATTGAACGGCTGGCCCGGATGGCCCAGGGTTGCTGGACACATGCTCACCCCAGAACTGCCTAAGTGCAGCTGGAAAGATTTCACTCCAGGGCTGGAGCTATAGCACAGTGGGTAGGGCGTTTGCCTTGCACGCGGCCGACCCAGGTTCAATTCCCAGCATCCCATATGGTCCCCTGAGCAGCGCCAGGAATGATTCCTGAGTGCAGAGCCAGGAGTAACCCCTTAGCATCGCCAGGTGTGACCCAAAAAGTCAAAAAAAAAAAAAAAGGCTTCACTCCCCTCCTCCCCCACCCCCCCAAGGAAAGCAGGCATTTTCCCCAACTGGGCAAACCGCGGAGACTCTGCATTCATCAATGTCAGGCCCCCTCCCAAGCTGACTACTGTTTTGTTTGGTGGCTATGGCCAGCTGTGCTCAGGGGCTATTTGGCTGAGTGACCGCTGGTAGTATACGCAGGGGACCATACGTGGCACCGAAGACCACATGTGACTCTGGGGTTGCTGGAAGCATACACTTCTGACTCAAGGGCTTTCCCTCCTGTACTCCCTCTCCAGCTTTCGGAGGAAGGTAGGACCCAGGCTGGGTCTTCACCCCGATCCGCCATCCGGGTAGGGCCCCAGGTAGGCCTCTCTGAGTGAGGCGCATGGGGGAACCAGTTCACTGCGACGTCAACTGGAAACAGCAGTTATCACCGGACAACAGCGTGCAGTGAACCGTGAAATGGGCGATGCCGCCAGACCCAAGAGGGGCGGCGGGAGGGCGTGAGAGTGGCCGCAGAGGCCTCTCCATTGCCTCCAATCTCGCGCGCTCATCCGCCAGAAACGAACTCCTTGCTGCACGCTGGCTGGAGAGTGGGGTTCAGAAGACACAGTCCCTGCCTGCAGAGATCAGAGCACCCCAAGGGGCGCACGTCTCTGGGTCTCTCCCAACCGGGATGCTCGACAAGCCAGAAGAGCACAGGGAACCCCGTGACTAGGGGTTAGAACAGTCACCCGGGACGTGCGGGACGGGACAGATACACAACCCCCAGGGTCTTGTTTGAAGGCCACACCCTGTGATGCTCAGTTGACTCCTGGCTCCGCACTCAGAGATTGCTCCTGGGGGTGCTCTGGGGACCCTATGGGGTGCTGGGGATCCAACCCACGTCACCCGCGTGCCAGACAAGTGCCCTGCCCGTGGCACTATTGCTCCAGCCCCAAAGCACAGCATCTTGCAGCACTGCACACAGGAGAATGCAGTCCCCGAGTGCCCCCTGCCTTTGACACAGCTGCAGGGATACAGTGACCTGGCTAGCTAGATGGCGGGGGTGCAGCAACACAATGACAGGGTAATGAAATGCAGTGATATGGCTAGCAGGATGACAGACCAAAGTTCTGATCACCCTGAGCCTGAAGAATTTTGTTTTCCCTTTCATGGTTTTTTTTTTTTTTTTTGGTATGGGCTGGAGCGATAGCACAGAGGGTAGGGCGTTGGCCTTGCATGCAGCCAACATGGCCGACCCAAGTTCGATTCCTCCACCCCTCTCGGAGAGCCCAGCAAGCTACCGAGAGTATCTCACCCGCACGGCAAAGCCTGGCAAGCTACCTATAACGTATTCGATATGCCAAACACAGTAACAATTGTCACAATGGAGACGTTACTGGGCCCGCTTGAGCAACTCGATGACCGTGATGGGGGGAGGTTTGCTCCAGAGGCCTGGAGGCCCCACTGACACCTCCCGGCTAATCGAATCAGCAGCTAGATGCCAAGGGCCCACAGATGAAGTGCTGCTCGGGCACCCAGGACCACACCCTCTCGGAGGTCTCTGAGGCTGCATCTGGCAGTTCTGGGAATCAAACCATCGAGCACATTCCAGGCGTGCACCCTAACTGTGGTACCATTGCTGGCCCCAAGGCAATATGACAATAGGTAGTAAGTCCCGTGGAAGAGACGCTGACAGGGGTTGGGGATGAAGTCAAGAATGGCTCCCATGGGGTCAGAGCAATAGCACAGAGAATAGGACGTCTGCCTTTCATGCGTCCAACCCAGTGGATCCCCGGCAACTCATATGGTCTCCTGGGCACTGTCGGGAATGATTTCTGGGCTCAGGGCCAGAAGGAACCCCTGAGCACCGCTGGGTGTGGCCAAATTCGATATGCCAGACACAGTAACAACAAAGTCTCCAATGGAGACGTTACTGGGCCCGCTTGAGTAAATCGATGATCAACGGGAGGGCCTTTACTTACTTTTATATGTGTGTATATATATATATATATATATATAGGCTGCCTGGATCCAAGGGGATGCTCAAGACGAGTAAGTTCACGGACTTGGGGACTCCTGGCTTTGGGTCAGGGGGTTAGGTGTTCGCCTTGCAAGCAGCCCACCCTGGCTCAATCTCGGGCATCACATATGGTCCCCCAGGGCCCTGCCAGGAGTGATCCCTGAGCACAGAGTAAGTGCTGACGACCTCCAGGTATGGCCCCCAAACCAACAAAAAAATAAGAATTTCTGGGGCTGGAGCGATAGCACAGTAGGTAGGGCATTTGCTTTGCACGTGGCCGACCCAGGTTCAATCTCCAGCATCCCATATGGTCCCCTGAACACCACTGCCAGGAGTAATTCCTGAGTGCAGAGCCAGGAGTAACCCCTGTGCATCACCGGGTGTGACCCAAAAAGCAAAAAAAGGGCGGGAGACCCAACACAGGCTGGCAGGACACACAGCTCGGTCATGCTGGCCACTGGGCACACTGACCCCAAAGGGGCCACAGCACCTGGACCTCGGTTCTGATCACAAACAGCAGAGCCCTGGGTGTCCTTCCCTGGGCTCTGCCCTTCCTGGGGGTCCCCGCCGCCCTCCACCCACCCACCCTCTTCCCTCTCCTGGGCCCTCACCGAGTTCGGGCGAGGTGGGCCGTGCCCGGCGTCCTCGAGTCTGGCTGCGGCCCCCACGGCGGTCCCAGGCCCCCCAGGGCCCATCTTCCTCCGGCCCTCTGCGCAGCCGCTTCTCGGCCTCGGGCCCCGCCCGGTTCTTCTCCGAAGTCGGGGTCGCCGCGGCGCCCTCGGGGCCGGGCGATGCCCAGGGCAGGAAGCGCACGGCCTGCGCCGCCGGTGGTTCCCGCTTGCGCCCCGCGGGGGCTTTCGTCCTGCCGTCGGGGGCATCGGCGGCGGGGGGCGGCACGGGGCTGCGGCACTCCTGGATGGCCCGGCTCCGCGTCAGCGGGAACTGGTCCCGCCGCCGCACCTCCTGCTGCGGGCCCTCCCCGAGTTCCGTCCGGCCCGCCGGCCCGCGGCTACGCGGCCTCCCCGGCTCATCCCCGGGCTTGGCGCTGGCGAGGGGCGGTGGCGGCGGCGGCGGGGGGCTGCCGGCGCGCGGGGTCTTGGGGGTGGAGGGCCGGGAGAAGAGCGGGGGCTCGCCGGGCTCGCGCGGGGACGGGGCGCGCTGGAGCGTGGCGCGCAGGGACTCGTGCGAGCGCACCAGCTCCTCCCGCGACGTGGAGCGGCGGATGCGGCCCAGCTCCTGCGCGAAGCGCAGCTCGAGGTCGGAGGCCGGGCTGCGCTGCCGCGTGCGCTCGTCCAGCGAGGCCGCCTTCTGCTGGAACAGGCGGCGCCGCTCGGCCACGCTGCCCGTGGGCGCGCGCAGCTCCTCCTGCGAGGCCCCCGGCGAGCCCCACGCCGCGCCGCCGTCCGAGCGCGGCTGCTCCAGCGAGCGCGCCTTGCGCAGGGGCACCCAGGGCCGCAGGGGCGCCGGCGGCGAGTCGCTGCGCTCCAGGCTGCGCCGCCGCTCCTCGAAGAACTGCAGTTTGTCCAGGATGCGGGAGCCGGCGCGCACCAGCCGCGGCGAGCGGCCCAGCGCCGACAGGCGGCCCGACGCCTCGCTCAGCGGCGTCTGCGGCCGCGACTCGGCCGTGCCGGGCAGCGACGGTCCCGACGACTTGGACTTCTTGCTCCGCTTCTCTTCGGCCGCGTCCTCCGGGGGAGCGGGCTCCGGGGGGCGCCGGTGGGGCGAGGCGGGGGGCGCCGCCGCCGCCGCCGCCGACGGCTGGGGGCTGGGGCCCGGCGGGGGCCGCTTCCCCACGCGAGGGGACGGCGGCGGCAGCAGCGCGGACTTGGATGCGGGCGGTGGCGCGGCGCGGCGCGGGGCTTCGCTGGCCGGCACGGGCTGCGGGTCCGGTTCCTCTTTGCACAGTTCGCTCGGAGGGATGCTGCTGCAGAACCGAGACGGGGAGGGGTGCACGATTCAGGGGGCCTCCCCTCCCCACGAGGCTCAGCTCGTGACAGGAACTGGGTGGGGTGGGGGGGGGAGGGGCATGCTGGGAAGGCTGGAGGTGGTGGGGACCCGGACCCGACCCTCCGCCCCCCTCCCGCGGCGACGAGGCAGGCACAGCCAGAGCAGGAGCAGGGGAGAGGGGGGCCGTCCCTGGGGGCTCCAGGAGACTGGGCTGAGGGGGAGGGTCCCAGGCGGGGACTCAGCCCTGGGGGCTCTGGCCGGCCCCCTCTCCCCAGTCCCTACCCACCCCTCCCCTCCCAAGCTGGGAAGGAGTGGAAACAAGTGAGCGGTGGAAAGACAAGAATGAGGCGCAAGACCCAGAGGATGGATGGAGGGGCGGTGGGGAGGGACCCTCTCAAAAAAAAAACGCAGCCCCCTGCCCTTTCTGTCCCCAGCTGGCCCCCCTTCCCCAGCAGCAGGACGCCCCCACCAGGGCCGAGGCAACAGGCCTGCAGGCAGCAACCCCAGTCCCCAGGATCACCCAGCACCTACTTCAGCCTGGAACCACCCCTCCCCACCTGCAGGAGGGCGCAGGTATCATTCGGGGCTCAAAAACGTGGGGTACTAGGCTATTCTCCCCTGGGATCCCTGTGCACCCCCCACTCCCGGCACAGGCCTCTGACTTTGTCCCGCCCTTGAGAGTTACCTTGAGTCCTTGGAAACCCCCCAAGCAGCACAGAAGCTCCCCCAAAGGGGTGTGCTCAGAAATAACTCAGCTCAGAAATAACTACCGCGTGGGCCTGAATAGGAGGTGTGGGGTGGGGTGGGGTGGGGGGGAGAAAGGGAAGGAGCTGGTCAGCCCCGAGTAGCCCCCTCCACCTCAACCCACAGAGCTGGCTCTGCTCCTCCCAGGTGGGCCCTGGGGGGGGCATGAGGAAGGGGGGCTGGACAGGGGGACTGTTGCAAAGATTAGCAGCAAGGATCCCCCCCCCCCCCCTCCGGCCCCGGCAGCATCCACGCCCTCATCAGGGCACCTCCCTCCAGGGAAACTTAGGAGCTGGCTCCCTCCACACTCCCGAGGCAGGCTCGTGTGAAAAAGCCGGAAATACACCCGGGGCGCTGCCGCATCTTCCTGGGCCCTCTCATCAGGACCCGTTACTAAGAAAGGTCCACGAGGAGCTGGGAAACTGAGGTTTACAGATGTCAGGGGGAAACCGACCCGGGGCACCTCGGGAGCTGATTCCCAGATAACCTGAGCTACTCCTGACCACCCCCCCTTCCCTCTAAAATTAAAAAAAAAAGGGGACTTTAGGGACATGGAGGAAGGGGAACTGTGCAGAGGGTCAGCCCCATGGATGAAACCGAAGGATGCCTGAGTGTCAGGACAGCGCTGAGTTGGGCACCCACCCTGCAGACCTCAACTCAAGAGACTCCAGCAATCCACAGGGTCCCAAGGGGCAGAACCTCAGCCTGATGCACCCCCCCTCAACACACATACAGAGGCAGCGCCTTCTGTGGGGAGGGACCCCAACGCCCCAGCAGTGGCCTCTGGGAACCAGGTGAGGCCCAAGGAGGAATTGGGGACAGCAGAGGCTGCCTGCCGGGCCAGCCCCTGTAGCACAGACATCACGACGGAAATGGGTTCCTCCGAAGTTGCCATAGCAACTCCGGGCTCCTCCGCCTGGGGCCTGGCAAAGGCAGGCCGGAAAGGAAAAGGCAAGTCCGGGGCACAGGAGCGCCGGGTTAACGCCAGCCTGAGAAGCTGGGGCCCCCCAACTCCGAGGCTGCCCTGGCCACCGGCTCTCCGGGGCCCACCCCACCCCATGCTGTCTCCCCTCACCAAACACCACCCCTTTGGCCCCTCCTCTCTCCTCCATGCTACCTCCCACACTCCATTACCAGTCAGACCCCCTCTCGACTCCCCCAAAGCACCCCCCAATACCTCTATCGCCAGCCACTCCCTCCTCTTCCCCACCGGCACACCATCCTGTCTCTGACAGCCCCCCCAAATCTCAAAAAAATGGCTCCTCGGCTGCCGGCTCACCGCCCACTCCAAGGCCAACCCTCAGGCACCCCGGGGCCTTAGGCCTCGGACCAGGGAGTGTCACAGGCCAGGGAGCCCCTCTGCCCCTCTGTCATCTTCCTCTCACACGGCTCCCCAAGCCCCCCGCCACCTCCCCCAGACCCCACGAGCCTTCCTTCCTGGCTTGATCCAGTGGGTCTGGCCCAATCTCTGCCCATACCCCCTCCACACCCCTCCACCTCGACCACCTCGCTCTCTGCCAACGCCGGCTGCCCGCTCGCCTGCTCTCCAGGGAGCCGCCGCCAGGAAAGGTTCCGTGTTGCCCAGAAAAATTAAAAAAAAAAAAAAGGCGCACACGGGAGCGGCAGTGTGCAAAGCTGAAAAGGCGGCAGCTGCCGAGACAGCCGGAGCGCAGGGGGGTGGGGTGGGGGGGAATCCTGGGGACAAGTGGAGCCTGAATGGGCGAGGAGGGAGAGGGCCCCCCCCCGGAGGGGAAGTGGAGATCTGGGTGGGGGGTGGGTGGTTGGAGATCAGGGAAGGGTCGAGGAGTGCACGAGATCATGGAGAGGGCACGGTGAGCTGGCACGGGTGGGCGACAGAGGCCGGGGGCGGCGAGAGGAGCGGGCCGTGTGGGCGAGTGGAGGGGGGTGGGTGGCTGGGGGGGGGGCCAGGCGTGGAAGCGGAGGATGGTGGGGGTGGCGGATGGAGGCGTGAGGGGCAGAGCAGACAGCACGGTGAGGTGGGGCAGGGCGGCCCGCACGGAGACGGTTACTTACACGTGGATCGAGAGCGCCCGTCCTCGGTACAGACTGAATGCGCTGCCGTACGCGTCACTGGCCACCGCAAGGCTATCCTCTGACCCCCAGCTTGCGCCCACCAGATTAGCTCGGGACGCCCGCACCAGCGGCTCCACCCCCAGGTGCCGAGGCCCGGCCCCGGTTGCCTGTGCTTGCCTTGGGCTGCCCGGAGCGTGGCGGGGGCCACCCCTGCTGCCCGCGTCCTGTTTCAGCACCGTCTGCCCGCTGCCCCACCAGCTCACTTGCTCCTCCGATGTGCCCGTCACGGAGGTCGGGGGGGTGTCCAGGGAGGTGCCCACCAGGGTGTCGGAGCCCCCTGGAGAAAGGAGGGTGGTAAGGTAGGGGGCGTCTCCCCGGGAGCGGGGTGGGGGTGGGGTGGGGGTGGGGGGGCCGGGTGGCCTGCCAGCCCTCCCGCAGCGGCGGGCTCTGAGGAGCGCTCACCCGTGGGGGTGCTAAGGGCCCCGTCATCCCGAAGCTCCAGGCGCTGGGTCCCCGGCACATCGCTGATGTCATCCTCGCCCGTCTCCGAGTCTGGAGAAGAAGGGTCTGTGTGGGCCGGGCCTCCCGCTGCCTCCTGGCTCCCCCGCGGCGGGGAGCCGGCACCAACTTCCGCCCGCTTGTGTCCCCCCACATCCTGGGTGGCTCAGGGGAACGCCTCCTTGCGCGCCAGGCCCCCCGACGAGAGCGTTCTCTGCCCCCAGGCCCCCACAACTCACCCTGGCCACTTTGGTGAGCATCCCCAAAGCGACCGTCTGCCCTCCCACCCCCCACCCCACGACCCAGCCAACTGAGAAGAGACCTCACCCCTGCTCCCAGCCAACCAGCACAGCGTCACTTCCCAGTGACACCCACACAAAACGAAACAAAACAAAAAAACAAACAGAACCAAGGTCCTCGGTGCCAAAGTTTGAAATGCGGGGTCCAGGCTCCCAGTAACAAAGGGGCATCACCTCAGAGTGGGCCAGTCAGGGCACGCGACCAGCCACCACGGGACCAGCCTGACCTCCACCCCAAACCAGTTGAAGTGCATCGGGGTACAGCTGCCGGCCAGGCAGGGGAGGGGAGAAGGTCTGGGCTGGGGCCAGTTTCCTACCGTAACTTTGCTTTCTGCAGGAGCGGAAAACTTCGCTTCCGTAGGAGCAGCAGGAGAGAGACATGGACAGACCGTTATCAGAGTGTTTGTGGGGAGGGAGGGCGGGCGGGCGGGATAGAGGGCACGTGAGGGTGCCCGTGCCCAGGGATACCCCGGGGGGTGGGAGATACGGGACATAGGCAGCCCCTCTCCTCCGACAGATCCTCACCAGCACTGGAGGGGCGCATCTGCCACCCCAGCCACATGCCCACATGTCCGTCCACACACACACACACACACACACACACACACACACACACACACACACAGCCGCAAACCCCAACCCCCATGGGGGCCAGTGTCCCCCCACCCCCTGCCATGTGCTTGGAGTCCTCTGCATCATGATGGGACAGGCACCCCCTGAGAGTGGACTGGGAGTAGTCTAAGAGCAGTTTTCCCGACATATTTTCCACTTTTCCTAGATTCTCGCATATTCTGTGCCTCAGTTTCCGAGTGCCGTGACCTGAGTCAGGGACCGACAGTCAAAGCTCGGCAGTGAACCACGGCTCATTCCCTCCTTCCCACCAACCTGGTCCCGTGGAGCACAAGGGAGCCCAGGACCATAATGAGGTGCGCTCAGGGGCCCCACAGCCAGGGGAGCTTTCGGTGGCAGAACACAGGGAGGCCTTCTGGGGTGGGGGTTGCATGGGGGTGTGTGTGGGGGAGCCCCCCACATCTCTTGGGCTGTCCTCAGGGCTGGGGAGAGCCGTGAAGGGGCAGGGACAGAGCAGAAGAGTGTGTGAGTGAGAGTAGCGAGCCCTGGTCCACGCACCATGGGTGAGTCGGCCGAAGGCCCGGCGGGAGTGGCCGCTTTTCTGAAAGAGAAAAGTCAGAAGGAGAGATTGAGGGAGAAGCGTTCTGGTGGCTGAGGGTTCCTGCCCAAACCTCACTAGCAAACAGAAACTCACTCCAGGGACCAGCATGCGTGTGTGTGTGTGTGTGTATGTGTGTGTGCGCGTGTATGTGTGCGCGTGAGTGCGTGTGTGTGCATGCATGCGTGTGTGTGCTTGTGTGTGTGAGTGATGCGTGTGCATGTGTGTCCGTATATGTGTATGTGTGTCTGCCTGTGTGTGCGTGTGCGATTCTGCTTGTGTGCGGGCGTGTGTGTGAGTGTGTGTATGTATGCGTGTGTGCATGTGTGTGTGAGTGTGTGTGTGTGTATGTGCATGTGTGCGCGTGTGTATGTGCGTATGTGCGTGTGTATGTGTGTGCACTGTGTGTGTCCGTGTGTATGTGCGTGTGTGAGTGTGCTTGTGTGTGCGTGTGTGAGTGTGTGTGCATACGTATGTGAGTGCATGCATGTGTAAGTGTGCTTGTGTGTGTGTGTGTGTGTGGTAGCGGAGAGCAAAGTGGGGAACAGGAATGGGCTGAATCGGCTGGGGGCGCCAGGCTGCCTGGCAGGAATGCCCCCACTTTGGCTCGTCTGCCAACCTCCCGGCCCAGTGCCAACTTGGCCTGAGCAGGAGCAGCGGAGGAAGGAGCAAAGAGGGCAACGCTGTGAGGGCGATTCTGGGGCTGTTGACAGGCAGAGGCTCCCAAGCCGGAGAGGAGCCCACGGGGGTGGCCTGCGGGGACCAGGGATGTGACACAGGCAGCTGATGAGGTGCAGGAAGGGAAGGGGCGGGGAGATGGAGGGACAAGGACACAGATTCCTGGGGCGTGGGGGGGAGGGGAAGGAAGCCAGATACCTGCGACCTCTTGAAGGTGTCCAGCAGGCGGGGGGAGGGGGGGGAGGGGGGGGGGGACAGAGGCCCAGCTCGGCCTCAGGAAAGTAGGGGGAAGGCCGGCCCGCGGCTGGCCGGCAGCAGCCCAGGAGGGGGAGGGGGCTGGGATTTCTTGTTCTCAGGGCCCATCCCTGCCGCTCCGGGGAGCTGGGGAAGATGGAAGGCTCCAGATGGGGTGCGGGGGGAGCCGGGCGGGGCCGGGGCTGGACAGAGGCTAGCCGGGGGGCCAGGTGGTCAAGGATCAAGACGGTAAAGCAGGTCAGAGGCGGCCGCGGGGGCATCCCCGGGTGGTCGCGGGGGTCCTGCGTGCGGGCCGTGAGGTGGCGGGGCGGTGGTGGGGATTGGGGGGGGTCTACCCTCCAGCATGGGGAGGGGCTTGCACACCAGGCAGGGCCCAGGCCAGGGAGCCCCGCAGAAGGCGCCCAGGGCTAACGGGCCCCGGGGCCCGGCCTCACTGACCCGCCCTCTCCCGGGGCGCCCGGCCCTGCCCGCCCCCTCCCCGCGCCGCCCGCCCCCGGAGCCCTCACCTGGAAACGCTTCTTCACCCACAGCTTCTTCATGGCGGGGGAGGGGGCCGGGCCGGCGGCCGGGCGAGGAGGGGACGGAGGGGGCGGGGCGAGGAGGGGGCGGAGCCGGGGCGGGCCGGGGGCGGGGCGGGTCGGGGGCGGGGCCGGGCGCGAGCGGCCGGCGGCGGCGGAAGGAGCCCGGGGCGGCGGGGGCGCGGGCTGGAGTGGGGCGGGCGGAGCGGCGGCGGCGGCGCCCCTCCCCCTCCAGCCTGCTGCACCCCACCTGGCTTCCTCATCTCCAACCAGTTCCCCTTGCGGTCCCTGCGGTGGCGCTCTCAAGCTCTCCGCACCCGCAGTGCCCTAAGCACTTAGGGAAACTGAGGCACAGAAAGGCCGGAGGTGGGGTGGGGTGGGGGCGGGGGTCGTGGGAGAAGAATGCGGGCCGCTCTGATCGGGAGCCCTCTGCGGACTTTCCGCAGGCTCTGGAGGTCAGCCGCGTCTTGCACACGCGCGCGCGCGCGCACGCCGCACCGCACGCCCGCAGTGCCCACGGTGTGTGTGTGGGGGTGGCCCAACTCTGCTGGGCACAGCGCCACGCGGGTGGGGGGCCCCCGATTGCGTGCGGGTCGAGGGTCTTCGGGATGGCACAGTGACATGGACCCAGGCTATGGAAAACTTGGAGCTCCCAGGAAACCAGAGAGGGACCCTTGAGTTTCTTGATGGTGGGTACTCTGTCCCTCGGGTCGCACCCCCTTCTACCCTCATCATCACACACACAACATACACACACAAGCTAAGGGGTCCACGGGCACGTGTATTATTCATAAATTCAACCCACCTTCTCATAGGTAAACACACTCGCTGAAAAACATCATCTTCTCAGCACCCTGCCCTCGCCTACACGATATTCTCCTCCTACCTCGACAGAACTGAGTTCCTTTAGCATTTCCTCAAGACACTATAAATAAATTGGTACCTCATTTACCAGACCTGGTAGCTTGAACCCCTTAAGGACCCTTCATTGGCTGGATTTCGCTGATGGGGGTGGGGAGAGAGTTGGAGGCTAAAGATGAGAGAAGTTCTGTCACTCAGTCAAAACTTCTGGGTTCAATCCTCACATGTCCCTGGAACTAAATGTCTACCCCTCCCCCCGCAATACAACAAGTCGTGCCAAGCTTGGCTTCTGAGATATTTCTACCAAGTATCATTAACATTTATGGCATGCTTACAAGGCACCTAGACTCATTCTAAGCACATTACATGAATTAACTCAATCCTCCCAACAAAAAATTCCCCGGCACAAAGAAGCTATGTACCCTCCGGAGGTCACACTGCCAGTCACGCAGGGAGGCAGGATTTGAACCCACCATGCACTGTCACTGAGTGACTACGATTTCTCCCAAAGATGTCACATGCTGATTGGAGGGAAGATCCCCTTAACGTGCGTGTGTGTGTGTGTGTGTGTGTGTGTGTGAAGCCTGGGATCAAACCCAGGACCTCACACTTGCAGAGCAGGTGGATCTAACACAAAGTTGTAGTCCCATCTGGACTTACCTTTATTTGTTTGTTTGTTTTGTTTTTGTTTTGAGGCCACACTCAACTGTGCTCAGGGCTTGCTCCTAGCTCTGTGCTCAGAGATCATTCCTAGCAAGCTGGAGAGAGAGGCGGTGCTGAGGATTGAAACCAGGTCACTGCCGCACTATCTATCCAGCCCAAGACTTCACTCCTTTAAAGCACAGAGCCTGGGAGCCAGAGTGATAGTAGAACAGGAAGGGCATTTGCCTTGCACAGAGCTGATCCAGGTTCGATCTTGGCATCCCCCCTGAGTCTGCCATGGGTTATTCTTAAATGCAGAACCAGGAATAAACCCGGGAGCTTCACTGGATGTGACCCCCAAACAAAACAAAACAACAACAACACAACAGAAAAGCACAGAGCTAGGAAGTGGGCCCAGTCTACACAAGCACGCCCAAGTGATTCCAGCTACCAAGAGTGCTTTGCTCATTTTCACTGCATTTCTTGAAATTCCTCCAGTTTGGGACCCTTCCATCCCTGGGGAGGAGGCAGGGGGCAGACCACATCCGACTCTGCTCACTACTCGTTTCTGGCTCTGTGCTCAGGATCACTCCCGATGGGGCTCGGGGGATCCTGTGCGGTGCTGGGGATCGAACCCCAGCCTGGTGCTATACTATCTCTCAGGCCCATCTGAGGCTTTTATTCCGAAGTTGAAGACCACACTCCTTCTGGGGTGGTGTTCCCCGCGGCTCGCATACTGTGTGCAGATAGACACGCCTGTGCAGAGGCAAGTGTGACCACAAGCCAGACCCGGTCGGTTACAGCCACTAGACCCCCGATGCCGATGGGGCGTTTGCCCTGTCCACCCCGAACACACCCACTCACAGATGGGGAGCTGAGTGAGGAGAGGGGTAACTTGAGCCCCTGTTCCCCAGGAGAATCCGAGGGGCTGGCACATTCCGTAGCAAAAATAACCAATGGGCAGCAGGCGTGAGTGACGGGACAGCTGGGTGAGGAGAGGCCCGTGGGATTCTGTGTTCCTGCCCGGGGGCCCCATGTTGCTCACCCTCTCCCGGCTGGCCTGGGGTGTGCGCCTGCGCTGTGGCTCCCTCAGCTGGTCCCATTTCTCTTTCTGGTGGGGCGACAGTGTCCCTGCCACTCCCCAGCCCCCAGCCTGCCCATATCAGCACAGCTGGCCCTTTGGAGCAGAGATGCCCTGAGCCCTCAAGTTGATCTTCCCTACAGACCTCACTCTGAGGCAGGCCCACCCAGTGCCCTCCTGCGAGCCTCCTCTTCCTGCCTCGATGCATTTCTTCTTGCCACCACCTCGTTCACCCCACTCTGTGTTTCTGACACACTTCATATGTGGGGGGGGGGAGGAGTGGGGTGTTGGGGCCACACCTGGCTGTTCTCAGGGCTTATTCTTTTTTTTTTTTTTTTTTGCTTTTTGGGTCAAACCCAGTGATGCTCAGGGGTTACTCCTGGCTCTGCACTCAGGAATTACTCCTAGCGGTGCTCAGGGGATCATATGGGATGCTGAGAATCGAACCCGGATTGGCCACGTGCAAGGCAAAGAAACGCCCTACCCGCTGTGCTATCGCTCCAGCCCCCTCTCAGGGCTTATTCTTGGTTCTGTGCTCAGGGATCACTCCTGGCAGCTTTGAGGGACCATACGGGATGCCAGGGATCAAACTCAGATCGACCGAGTGCAAAGCAAACATCCTGCTTGCTGCCCTATTGCTCCAGCCCCGTGCTCTGTGATGTCAACTTAGTTTTCTTGCCTGTCGGGAAAATTTAATTTTCTTCCCCCTGGAAAGTCATCTAAGGATGACAGTCATCTTGATCTGACCCCTCATCCCACTTCCCATCACCTCCTCCCCGTGCTCACATGTACCACACGTGTGCTTGTCCCAAGCACATAGAAAAGTGACTGGCACACGAGGGGCTTTCGGTAGAGACGGGTGGTCGAGCAGAGTTGCAGGGGTGTGGGAGGCAGGGAGGGGGATGGGACATCTTCCTGGGTCAGCTCCTCCATCCAGCCTTCCTGCCTTCTCTATCTGCACCCAGAGTCTTTCTTTCCCAAGAAACGCAAGGAGACTATCTCATATGTTGCTCTGGCTCTCATGGGGAGGACAGTCCCGGCTCCGGGAGTCTGGAGACTCGGGTTTTCTGCTCTCCCAGAGAGTCCCTCCCCACATTAGGTCTGAGCCTTAAAAGGGAACCCTGATCAAACACATTCCCAACACTGACCCCTGCCTCCTGACCCCTTCCTCCAGACTTGCAGATTTCAGGTTCTAAAAAGGGATAACGGAAATAACAAACACCCACCCGACTGATAGCTCAAAGCACTGAGTATATTTTTTTGCATGTGGCAGGTCAGGAGTTCGATCCTGGGCCCTGTATCATGTCCTGAGCACCACCTGGAATAATAACCTCCTACCCCCAAACAGAGCCCTCAATCACACTGGGTGTAACCCCCAAACAACAAAACAATGACAGCAAAGGACATTGAGAAAACATCCCGTGGGGGCAAGGATGGTTATGATCCTTCCCCTATTTGGTACGGCCTGGCCCCTCTTGTTCTCCCCATGCCTTTGAGTCCCCAGAACTGTCATCTGCTACCCTTTCACTCTTTTGTTTGGCAGAGGAATCTTCCAGACCTGTTTCTGAATCTTCCAACTAACACTCACAGTGAGCAGCAGTGACCAGCCCCTTCCTGCCACACCCCTTCTCCTCCTACTCCAGTCCCCCCTTCTTTTTTTGTGGGGAGGAGGGACGGGGTCACACCCAGTGATGCACAGGGATTACTCCTGGCTCATGCACTCAGGAATTACTCCTGGCGGTGCTCAGGGGATCATATGGAATGCTGGGAATCGAACCCAGGTCGGTCGCGTGCAAGGCAAATGCTGTACCCGCTGTGCTATCGTTCCAACCCCTAGCTCCCCCTTCTTGAATGCAGGTTTCCTTCTCAGGCCCCTCCGAATTCCAAGCTTCGAGGCTGGCCCGGACTCTGATCACTCTCTTTACAAGTGTCCCTTGAGAGATAATAGCTGTTGTCTCAGAGCGGGGGGTCAGGTGGTGGCTTGGGGGATGTGGCCAGGCAGATGGTCACCCTGGACAATGTGAACCCAGAAACCTGGGCCCTCAAATCTGGCTCAGGCATCTCCCTAGTTATATGGCCTCAGGAAAATGTGGCCTCGCCGCCCCCTCTTTGAAGCCCACCATTCTTTGTACGTTTAAGTCACTGAAATGCCTGGGGGTTCAGAAGCAGAGCTGAGGTGATGGCATAGTGGGCATCATATATAAAGAAGATTCTTTCAGGGACTAGAGAGATAGTACAGCGGGTGGGGTGCTTGCCTTGGATACACCTGACACCAGTTTCATGCCTGGCACCCCTTAGGGTCCCCTGAGCCTCGTCAGGAGTGATCCCTGAGCACAGAGCCAGGAGTAAGCCCTGAGCATTGCTGAGTATGGCCCAAAACTAAAAACTAAAAAAAAAAAATGGGGGTGCAGCGATAGCACAGCGGGTAGGGCGTTTGCCTTGCAAGTGACCAACCCAGGTTTGATTCCCA